TCTCTCTCTCTCTCTCTCTCTCTCTCTCTCTCTCGCCCGCTCGGCTCAGACTCAGACCTGGGCAGCTATGGCCGCCCTGGTTCCCTATCACTACCCTAGCTCTGGTTGTCGTCCACGCTCCCTTCTTCTTCGAGTGTTGTCTTCCGCAAGTCGCTTGGTCACACAAGCAGCAGCAGCACTTCCGCAACTTCACGAGTGAGCAACTGGTGAGTCGCTGCACTGTAGCAGTTAAATATAGAACTTGTCGTGGTTTGGCCTGCTTCGGACCGGTACCGGTCAGCCGCGGCCAGTCTGCTGCAATCATTTTGTCGGTCCGGAAGCTTCCCGGACTTTGCTGGGACTTGCTGCAAATTTGTGGACTTGGAACTGGACTGGGCGTTTCCGGACTTTGCGGTCCGGTACCGGAGTAACTGTGCAGCTAGTCAACTTTCCTGATGTTTCCTGACATAGACCCACGACTGCTCAATTGGCCTATCGTATATAACCCACGTGATGCTGGGACTTGAGACTTCAAAATCTTCTGGACTTCAGAGCCTGTATTGCCGGGCTCTCATGTGTCTGCAGCGTGGAATCATTTCAGGTGGTACAAACGAGCAGAAAAAGATGAAAGGCACAAAAAGCGAAAAAAAATGCCAAGCCCATGTAGCTGAATGGTTCACCCATCAACTGTTTGACATACACAGACCTCAGTTCAAATCCTGCGAAGAGAAGTAAGGAAAGCACTCTGAGATCCTTTTTACTTTCTCTCAGCATGAGCTCCACCCAGATTTAAGCTCGTGACCTGGATGCTAATAGTCAGATGTCATCTCCCCATCCAATGGGCCTGCTATGTTATACCTATTCGAATGTCCAGCAAAAAAAGAAAAAAAAAAGCATCCCGAGCCCGATAAATCTCGCCAGCTGAAAACTACAAAACCTGGATGCTGAAGGTGACAAAGAACTGGATGCTAATAGTCTTGCATGGTAACTTCTCTCCATGCAAGAGGGCCTGCTACGTTTTTGTATTCGAAAATATACCAAATAAAAGCACAGACAAAAGCAACAGACCAAAGACCCCGCCTGTCCAAGATTCCGGGGAACAAACAAACAGACAAACACCCTACGTGCCCACAGCACGCGCCTCTGCGGTGGCGGGTCCACCTGCCACACCAGGTCTTGTGTGGGCCCATTACACGAGACCAGTTTAGTCTTTAACAAGATAGAGAAGAGAAAAGACCTCAAAAGTACTGACCTTCCACAGGCTCTGCAACACATCGGTATCAACCTTTGCTGGCACAAGAGTCACCCAGAGGCCAGCTACATCCAGAAGCATTGCGGCCATCGAAGGTGTTGCCTGCCACACACCACATACACACACACACACACACACACACAAAGAGAGAGAGAGAGAGAGAGAGAGAGAGAGAGAGAGAGAGAGAGAGAGAGAGAGAGAGAGAGAG